CTCGGATCTCTTTAATGAACATTTCAGCTTTTATTTTCATAAACTTACTCTTTTTCAATGTTTCCATTTTCCCAATCATTTCTAATTTCATCGCTCTAGATGTTTTAGTTGCATTATCAGCCACAACATCAAAGTCATTAGAGAAGAGGTGTTTTAAAAAGTTAATGCATTGACCCAAAACTGTAATATGCTTATTCATTATTCCAATCAAACTCTGTTCGGGTTCTAGAACATTCAAAACATTCAAAATTTCTTTCATCAATTTTTCTTCGGTTGTTCCTTCAAATGCAATATTTTTCAAACTTTCCTCCTTTTCCTCATCTGTCAATTTGTTGCCAGCCATTTTGTATTTTTCTAGTCTAACTTCTTCATCATACAAATCAAGTGCTTTTTGAAAGAATTTAGTGTGATTTTCCTTAAGGGCATCATACTCGGCAAGCTCCAAGATAGTTTTCCTTCCGTTCTCAAGAATATATTTTTTGAATCCAGGATTCAGTTTGAATTTTGTAACTGCTATATGATCACCCTGGATCATATTCACAAATCCATGAAAGTATTTTGAATATATCCCGGTTATTTTCATTGGAGATTTTGTAGTAATTGCTTCACTCAATGCATTCATTATGTATTCTTCTTCGTCTACATTAGTGTCACGTTCACCTTTTGTAGCAATTCTGTCTTCAAGCTTATAATGCTCATTTGCATTCGCATGTTGCGCATTTTGCACCAGCAATTTTTTATCAAGCGAGGCTGGATTAACAAATTGTTTCTGGTTTTGTGAGACAATTACAGAATGGGGATTATTGTAATGTTCCATAGGCAAATGCACCGGTCCATTGTTAGAGCTTGCTGATGAATTTAATTTTAAAGCTGATACATTTCGGTTTTGAGAAACTCTAGCAGCGTTGTGATTAATTGGAAACTTTGCTAAATTAATAAATTTAAAATTTAGGGAAGAGAGATTCAGACGGAGGTTTAAGAAAAGGCGGAGGATTAAGAGTCCTCTTAAAAGTCAGAGATTTAAGATTTATTAAAAAAGGAGGTGGAATCAGCCCCGATTGCTCAGTCGGCAGATCACATGTACGTGATGAGCGCAATAGCCTAGCTTATCAGCTTACAACTTTTACCTCCCCCATACTAGAATTTGTAAATTTTGTTTAAAAAAGGATCACCTTGTAAGGGAGCAATATTAGAAATAGTTCCAACAGGTACTCCTTGTGTAGTACGTAGAATAAACATGGGGAAAACAAACAATACAAACTGACAGATGCTCAACATTTTCATCGAATTGAATGTTCTCATGATTTTTCTTTTAATTCAGTGAAATATTAAAATTAATTTAAGTTGAAAATTATTAAATTTAAAGCTGGATTTCCTTGAAAAGGAGAATTTTAATTATGATTTTTCTTCGAAATTAACCGCGCATTTATTCCTCTTTTTTGGATAGGAGTAGCTAGCGCCGCATCTGGGCGGTTTTTTAATTTCAAAATTAAATTCTCCTGATTACCCTTGTATTTTTCTTTTATTATACCCTTTCACGCTGCATTCACACTACATTTGTTAAGAATTACCGACTCAAGACTATCAATAACGGAAGCTTTGAAGCGGATGAAAAGGGCATTTAAAGGTAAGTTATTGCATCATGTATTGCATCATATATTGCATCATATTCAACTTCAAAATCATGCATATTCACGTGAAAACTTTAAAAGGGATTTAGGATTTCATGTGAATTATTTTGTAAAATAAGCAGCATGTCCAATCATTTCAAAATAGGCAATGAATCCTGCCCTTTTCATATTGTCTGTTTTTATTTAAAAGGGCAATCTTGTTGAAAGGGCATTCTTAATGTTATAAATACGGGATCGGTTTCATTGAAATCACTCATCATTTTTAAGAAAAGCAAATCAAGTCTAAAAATCCGTCTTAATCCAGCTTCAACGAAAACATTAAGGTAACTCCCATGAAAATTATACACCTCCTCACTCTTATCTTACTAATTGTTTTCATGGAAATCAAGTTTACAAACAGTGTTTTGACAAATTATACTTCTCGAGCTGGTTGTTATTTTAGATTTATTTTAAATTTTTTATTCATAATTCCATTTAAGCAATACCAACTTCCAGCAACAAAAATTTGGCTGTGAAGAAAAACTTAATAGGAAAGCAACTGTCATTTCCTACAAAAGTGTCACTTCCAGCAGGTTCTTCAAAATATATTTCAAAAAATAAGTGTTGCAGACATATTTCTATGAATAACTGTTTGGAGCCGCCACCAATGATTACTCGAAACGATAAAATTTTGAATAAAATGAGCGTAAGGACCTTGGATGAGATTAATGAAAAAAATAAAATCTTGCCTAAATCGGATAGTTCGGAAAATGAAGAAGAGTTGAAGAAGGAAACTCTAGATTCAGAAAATTATAAAATTGATAGATTGCCAAATAATTATCACCCTCTTTTTCCTTATGATCTTATTGAGATAAGAAACAAGAAGAATGAAAAAATTTAAATTGTAAACATAAATCTATTAGAATTAGAAATTGGACCGGGAGCGTCGTACGAGAATTGAAATCGATTCTCGATATCTCCAAAGATTGAGATGAGGTCTCAAAAAATTTTTATTTCTCAAGATTTGATATTTTCAAAGATAGCTCATACAATCCTTTGCGTCATTCCGAGTCTGGTCTCGATAACCAAAATTTTTTGACTCTAATTAGAAAATTTTAAAATATTTTTTGATGTTAAATGTTTTAGAAAAATTATGTATAAATTAAATAAATATATATTTATTGCAAAAATTATACATAATAATAAAAAATATAAAAGGAATATTCTTAATGACAAGTGAGATTACAAAAATTTAATAATAATTTGACAAAAATTATTAATTATTAAATGAAAAAAATTTAACGTTTAGATTGAATTGAGCACTATTTTCTACTAATATTTTCCTCAATTCTAGACATACCACTCTTTAAATTCCCTTTTTGGCTGTTGAGCTTCTCTTGAAATTGCAATTGTTTCTCGTTGAGTTCCTCCATTCCCTTGAGCTAATATTGTTGTGAATCTTGCACCTGATCTATCAGTAAATCCAACAGCCGAAGCGCTGTTTCCGTTCCCTATTGTTCCACTTCCATTACGTAATAAACTTTGAGTTGAACCCTTTTAATGATTATTTTTCGTAATTAAAATATTTCAATTAATGTAAAATTATTCTATGTATGTATGTATAACTCGTGTCACGACACTTGCAGATATGACATTTGCAGACCCGACACTTGCAGACCCGACTTTTGCAGACCCGACATTTGCAGATACCGACACTTGCAGATATGACACTTGCAGATCAGACATTTGCAGATCCGACTTTTGCAGATTAGACCCATTTCGCTCTCTTCTTTACCTTACCTATACACCGTGGAGTGTTTGCTGCTGCGGAGGAATCCTGGGATGCCCATATCATCGATGATAGGAATAGGATCATGTTACGAGCCCAGAGCCCATCGACCGTTGACTCCCCGCGAGGCGCGTGCCGCAAAATCCCGCGCGAAGCGCGGGGTTTTGCACAAGCGCCTCGCCGACGCTCCATAGGTCTATGTTGAACATTTTGAACCTCAGGAAAAAATAGAATCTCCGAAAAAAGTGGTGCCGTTCGACTCAGCTCGTCGAGACGAATTGGTATGGGTCTTATATCAAAACCTTTCCACCGGTATACTATACTATCCTTGATTTTTTTAAGATTTTTAAATTTTTTTCAAAAATTAATATCTGCAAAAGTCGGATCTGCAAATGTCTGATCTGCAAGTGTCATATCTGCAAGTGTCGGTATCTGCAAATGTCGATCTGCAAAAGTCGTCTGCAAATGTCGGGTCTGCAAATGTCATATCTGCAAGTGTCGTATGACCGTATAACTTCCATGTATAACTCAAAATTTTGTTGGAGTTTTAGTTGGGGGAGGAGTGAGTGGGTGGGCGGTTTCGTGTTTGAAAAGGTGTTTGATAGCCAAAAAACTTGGGCTTGTTTCGGCTTCGTTTTTGGTTCAATTGGTTAAGACTGTGAGTTTGGTCAACTTTTATTTGCTTTTGAGCTGATTTTTAAGCTGGTTTCGATCTCGAGATTGGATTCAATTTTGAGTATCGTTACAAACATAAGGTGTCTCGATAGACAGAACAAAACACGAGACCCGTCATAAAAAATTATTAGAATTATTACCACAAGAGTTCCAACACGAGCACCAACTCCATTATTATTACTTTCAAATTCTCTCATTTGATGGTGTTGAACCTGAGGAGAAAATTCATTAGGAGGAATTGGAGTATATCCAGCTTTAAGGCCATTAGTCGATGATTGTCCGATTGCCCCTCCTTGACCTCCTCCAGCTGCCGCTGCTGCCATTTGAGCACAAATCTGATGAGGGCGTTTAAAAAAGACACAAAGTAATATGGCACCAAGCATAACAACAATACTAAGTGATCCGACTAAAAATATAGATAAAAAAAGTTAATTATTCAAGAATACCTCCAATCAAAAATTTTTTATCGTTGCCTAATTGATTGTTTGAGGTAGAAGGAACCATTGTCTAAAATTATTTTGATATATTTTAATTAGGGTTGTTGTCGACCAGTCAAAAACCGGTTAACCGAAAACGGCTTTTGACTAAATTTGTCATACAGAATATCCAATTCATATTTTATTCAATTAAAAATACTTTAACGTAATACTCTATGAATCAGACGCTAAATAATTTTAAAATTTCAACAATTTGAGTGATTAAAGAGCTATTTGGAGGAAATATCAGGTATATCGGTCGCTTTGAAAAGTGATAAAGAAATAAGGGATATCGATGATAGGTTGATTGCGCTTCGAGGAAATATTGAAAGATTTGAGTTGATTAAAATAGAATAATTGAATAGATATCAAGGGTCATATATGCCCTTATATGTATTCAAAACCCTCCGAATCCTCTGAATCCACGGAAATCATGAAATAAAATTATTTTTAACATACAGTAGGAGTATTTCCGTATTGAGAAGCTCCGTTCATTGGTGTCGTTGGTCTAACGGCATACAAAGTCGGATCATTAGGATCAACAGGAAAGCGAGGAGCTAAAGTTTTTCTAGTTGTGGTGCTAGTTGAAGGCTTTGGAGTAGGTGCTAAAAAATTTTAAATTTTTAAAGGATAATTGAAAAGGATTAAAATTTTTAAAAAGAATTTTACTGCAAAATTAAAAAAGTTTTAGAAATAAAATGAATTTTATTTAGGAAGAGAGATAAATAATTTAGCAAATCCGTTTAAAAAAGTGACTTTCTTTCCTAGAAATGTTAACTAATTAGTGCAGACAAGATTTAAGAAAGAAAAGTAATAGAAAGAAACATAGTTACAGGTAATAACTATAACGTACAAAATAACTCGAAAAATCTCGAAAATAACTATAATAAGTAGGGCTAGGATTTTTAGGCACTATAAAGTTAAAAATAGGCGCCTATATAGGCACTAAAAAACACCCAAAATAGGCACTAAAATCCGAAAAAAAGGCAAAAATCAGCATCAGGCCTATCTAGGAAAAAACAGGCATTTTGCCTAAAATCCTAGCCCTAATAATAAGCACCTAACTTATCAATCCGGTTCTATTTAAAAGCTAAAGGATTGTGTAATAGTTTGTCTGTTCTCGTAAAATCTTCAGATATACGCAATCGAACCGAATATACTTTTTAAAAGAATAATTTCAAAAAGCCCTATATTTTAACTTAAAATTTGTGAAAAGTTTAAGAATAAAATTAAATTTTAGATTAAAGAAAATAAAAACAAATATATAATACATACATATTATTACTAAAAAAGCACACTGCAATCAAATAATAATTTAATTTTTTGTTAGAATTAAGGCACAGCAAATTTTCTTCGTCGAATATATGAAAATTTTATATATATTTCGGGATCAAAATCCAGAAAATCCAAAATGCCGATTTTATAGACTCGGATCCGAACCCCGATTTTCAAAAAAAATATCCAAATTAGTGTGAAGTCTAGTAAATAACGGGGCATTTAAATATTGATAACTTAAAACAAGAGTTTTTGAGAGGCATAAAGAGGGATATTGGCGGATTTAGGGATAAAAGGAAATCGTTATAGAGTGTCGCTATTTTATAATTATGTTTATTTTTAGGATTCCAGCAGCACTATTCGCACATTCAATATTATACTATGTAATAAAAATAAAATTTAAAATATAAAATTTTAAATAAAAAAACTAAGAAAAAGAGAACATTTAATATAAAATCTAGATTTATTTTTGTAAATAAAAATTTAATAAAAAATTAAAGGGAAACGAAAAACATTTTTGTGCAAAAAACGGAAATTTTGTTTAGGAAAGAAAGTCACAATTCTTTTAGGTGAATTTGTGTAAGTTGAGGGTAAATTGTGCTAATTTTTATAAGTTTTTCTAAATTAATTCTATCTTTTTTCAAAAATTCAGAGGGGCATAGCTAGAATTAATTATAGATACCAGTTCCCATTTCAATTCAATCTCCATTTACTAAATACTATTTTCTAATATAGATGCTAATATTTTCTTTTAAGCTTTATCTTTAAAAAGAAGCATCTAAACGGCACCTTCTACAGTATTTTCTCAAATAATTATCCATACTAACCCCATTAAGTACCTTACTAGAATCAGGAGTTTTTGAGGGGCATAAAGAGTGATATTGGCGAAGATTTATCAAGATTCCCCCGTTCAAAATTTCAAAACTCGAATGATTGCCCTCCCTTGATTAATTATCCCATTCTACCTATAAGTTAATAAAATAGTAATTATACAAAAAATACAGTAAGTTAATTTAGATAAGATGGACTTGTCTAATGGACTTACAACTATTTTTTATAATTTTTTATTAATTTTGCAGTAATATTAATCTATATTTGATTACCAAAAGTAAAATGCAATCCAGGCTTAATACCCGGATCGACCGTAAAACGTTGTAAAGGCATTTCTGTTGTTTTATGAGTAATTTTATTAGAGGCAGTTGAAGGCGTGGAAGGGGAACTTTTTAAGGTTTTAGTTGTTTTTGGTTGTTTTGTTTTTTCTTTAATTTTATCCTCTTGTTGGATAATTTTAGGCCTGAATTTTTGCCATTTTTTGAGTCCATCAGAGCCAAGTCTTCTTCCATCTGGCCAAGTTCTGGTTCTCATAGGCCAACCCCCTTTAGGGATATAATGTTGTCTAAGGTTTGATTCTTCTTCTTCTTCCTCTTCCTCCCTTTTTTGATTTTCTTCTTCATCTTCAATTACACTTCCTTTTTCTTCCTTTTGTTTCAACTTAATTCTGTGTCTGTTATGATACCCCAATGTATTTAATAATTTTTCTTCTCGATCATTTAATATTTCTGAGGATGAGGCGCCATAATACTCATTTGATGTTGATGTACTTTGAATGTTATAATTGCTAGAAACCATTAAATTTAATTCGGAAGAAAGCAATTTTGAAGAATCTGGCTGAATTGGTGAAGCCGATGAAAGTGCAGCTAATATTGATAAATATTTTTTTGAAAAATTTTTTAATATTTGTTATAGGGTTGTGCCAAACCGTTTAGCTAAACACTAAACGGTATACGGTAAACGGGTTTTTTGGTAAAATTAAACGGAACGGTATATGGGTCTCAGATAAACGGCATAAACTTTATCGGTCCTTCTAAACGGCGTTTATTTCGTTTAATTTTTTCTTAGAAATAGTTGATTAAAACGTGAATTTTAAAATTTTCGCCTGCGGCGCAAAAAAGGAAGAAATTGACTTAGGGACCTCTAAAATTCTCAAAATTTTCGCCTGCGGCGCTGAAAAAGAAAGATCCTTATTATCCTTTCAAATCCCCAATTTCCCTTCAAATCCCTCAATCGCTCGAAATCACATGATATTCACCTTAATCCTCTGATATCCCTTCAAATCCCCTTAATCCCTGATCTCTGATCTCTTAATCCTCTGATCACCTTTAAAACTCATAATCTACCAATATCCCACCTCAATTCTCTGATATATATTTAAATCATCCAAATATCAAAACCAATGATATCCCTCTTAATCACCAGGCATCTCTTCAGCCCTTCCTTATCCCTCTAAATCCATCGATATGATGAATTTATAGTTGAATTACAATTTTTATAAAGCGGAATGATCATAATTAATGATTGTTCATTGATGTTTTTGAATTATGAATTATTTTTAAAAAATTTTAAAAATAAACGGTAAACGGACGTTTAAACGGGGCCTTCAAAAATAAACTAAACGGTATACGGGTCTCAGATAAACGGCATAAACGGTATACGGTTTTTTCAAAATTAAACGGTTTAGCACAACCCTAATTTGTTAGTTAAATTTTGTTTAAATTTTAATGTATTTTTTAATTTATGTTGACAGAATAGACGACATATTTTTATTTCATTATGATTCTAGAAAATCATAATAGAATAATATGGCTCCTGGAGCTAGAGCAAGTAATATCTTAAAATGCGCGGAGCTGGAGTCATAAAACGCACAATACCCATCCCTACTGATAACATACATAAATAAGATAACATACTTTCGGAAACCCCTGATCATATGTTTATGCTTTAAACAGATTTTTTTCGAGTTAAATTTCTATAATTTAAAAAATAATCTCTAGAAGGAAAATTTCAAAAATAAATATTTAAAATAATTTTTTAATAAAAAAAGTACATTTATAGCTAAAAATATACATTCAATTCTAAAATCCCTTTTAGAAATAAATAATTGCTTAAGCATTTAAAGTTTATATTTGAGTATTTTCTGTCAGCATAAATAATTAAACAAATGTTTTTTTGTAAATAAAAATAAATTTAATTGGAATTTTCTATAAAAAATTTTTTATTATTTTTAAAAGCCAAAAAAATTTTTTACTGTTTTCATTATATTTTTTATTTTATTTATAAATTTATTAAAAGTTTTATATTTAATTTATTTATCCTAAGGACGTATAAGTATAGGGTCAGAATCAGGACTAATCGAACTAGAAAAAATTTCAGATCAATTAGAAACGAAAATAATATTTCAGAAACGAAGTGGAAAAGGGCAAGAAAGGGCGAAACTGAACAAAATTTCGATCAGCCCTGGTAAATGCAAAAGGGAATAAAAATTATTTAATTATAATTTCTATTGAAAATAAGCAAATTAATATTTAAAAAAGAGGAAAAAAAAAGTTTAGAAAAGTAAGAATTATTATTATTATTTGTGTGCTCAAGTGCGTGCTGGAGTGCATTTTTTTATATTTATTTTCCCCTGAGTCAACATTAAAATTTCTGTCTATTTTTTGTTAAGGCCAATGGCCGTGCCAGATTTGTGCAACTGACCAAAATGTGCATAAAAATATATTTAAGACATTTCTAGGAAAGAAAAGTTTTTAGGGGTAAAAAAGTGGTAAAATTGCGTGAGTTTAAAAAATAAAGCAAAAAAGCTTTTTAATTAGAAAATTAGTAAAGCTAATACTTGACTTGAGGTTTTTAATAATTTGAAAAATATAATGGGATAATATATTGAAATAATAATTTAACCAAATTTTTTGATTTTCTCAGTGTTATTGAGGTCCGATTGGATTGAAATTTTTATAAAAAACTCCGAAATTTCAACTAAAAAATGGGAAAAATAGTAAAATTTCTCTTAAGAAAATCTGTACAAATTCACTAAAAATTTACTAAAAATATTTTAAGAATTTATTAAAGAGTAGTTTTCTAGCAAAATTTTTTGGTTTGAAAAAAAAATTTTTTAAATAAATTCAAACCAAAATAATTTCAAACCAAATTTCAAACTAATTCAAACCGAATCGGTTACGGTTAACTAAAAGTTTCGGTTCAAGTTGCCGGTTTGATTTTGACTAACCTAAGAATTTGGTGAAAGCGACACCTGTATTTAAAACCTAAATACTCTGTTCATATTAAGGGACTGTTTTAATCCGTAAAAAGTTCAAGTCCGTAGCATAGTTTAAAAGTTATTCAGCATAAATTAAGAAAACGTTACGCAACAAGTCAAGTATTAACAAAAAAAAGTTTAAAAATTTTAAAAAAAGCAAAATTATATTTTTTAAAAATTTTAGTAAAAAGACAAGAATTATAAAAAATAAAAAATGGAACGGAAAGAATTTCAAAGACAAAAAGTAAGTAAAACTATTAAAAGTAAAAAGCATTAAAAAATAAAAAAATAGAAAAAAATTTTTTTATTTAAAAAATTTAATTTTTAAATATTTATTTATTAAAAAAACCAAAAAATTTAAATAAAATATTCCAACTTACCAAAAGTAAAATGTTCCAATTTAGTTTTGGGTCGAGTCCATGAATGAGGCCGCTTTCTAGCTGTTGTAGTTGAAGTTATTGTTGAGGTAGAGGGACTTGAAAATGATTTAGTTGAGTATACAGATGTTGGTTTAGTTGGTGGAGATGTTTGGAATGTTGGCGGAGATGTTGGAGATGTAGTTGCAATGGTACTAGTAATCCTTTGTGCTTCCCAATTGAGCGATTTTGAGATGATTGGAGTGAAGAAGCCTTTTTTAAATAAAAAATGCTTTAATTTATTAAAGAATGTTTTAATTAAATTATTTAAAAAATTTTATTTTTTTATTTTAAATAGAGTTTCCTTTGAAACCACTAAAACAAGAGAAACCCTTAATAGGATTTTATAAAATGTCCGGTTTCCAGGCAGAGGGACTCTCCGTCTTCAAACAGTAAGCAAACAAATCTCAAACTTAATACGCCCACTGAACGAAAAGTCGTTTTAATTTTCAGGCATCGGGCTCGGAAACATGGTCCTGGGCCCGATTCGGTGTCGAACAATAATAACTCTAATTTTAAATATTAATTTTATTAAAAAATTTTTTTTAATTTATGAAACAATAAATTAAAATGAAATTAAAATAGAAATTAAAAAATTAAAATAGGAAAATATTAAAATGTTAAAATAAAAAAATTTATAAAATTTAAAAATTAGGCATATTTTTCGAATATGTATATTTCAGCTTAATAAAATATTTGCCGGATAAATACGACTAAATATGATAACTAGGTGTGCTTAAATATTTATGTGGAGGAGTGTATTTTATCATAAAGCTTTTACCCAATTATTCAACAAAGATTTATGTTATTCCAAAAAATAAAAAATTCCAAAAATAAAAAGTACAAAATATTTAAAAAAATATTCCCAAAAATTAATTTTTTAATTTACCATTTTCCTTATTTAAATAATCATTATCGTCTTCATTTGATTCACTTAAAGGCAAAAATTGTGCCGAGGCAAATTTAGGAGCAGGAATTTGATAATGCTGTTCTCGGCACTTTGGCGAGTGCCAATCAATGAGGCATAGGATTGGCAAGGATGTGCTAGTAAATAATGTTGGGGAAGGGGAGGGAGAAGAAGGAAATTGTTGCGCGGACATTTAATATTTTAAATATGATAAAAATCGGAATAAATTGTGTTTTTTTGTTGATAAATGGAAAAAAATATTGGCTGTACTTTAGCCGGTGGCCCACTCAGAAACGGGACAAATTATATACCATTCGATTCGTCTCGGCGAGCTGAGTCGAATGGTACCATTCTTTTTTTGCGGAAATGCCTACGAGCCGAGATATAGGTCCCTGAAAACCGAAAAACCATAGGGGGGAGTAAGCACAATTTTGGAGTGAAAAATTCAAATATGCAAATGATAGCTCATTCGAAAGAGCTCCTCGAGCTGAGTCGAATGACACCAAAATCAGCGAAATCCGTCTTGATTTGAAAAAGTTATGAGCATTAGTTTTAGCTCCTTACCTTTGGTCTACGTGCAGGTTTTTGTTGCTGGGGAGGAAGCCAGACATGCCATCACAGCTAAAATAGGCATAAGTTTATGTTACGAGCCCAGACCCAGCGCCCGTAGACTCCCCGCGAGGCGCGTGCCGCAAAACCCCGCGCGAAGCGCGGGGTTTTGCACAAGCGCCTCGCCGACGCCCCATAGGTTTAGGTTGATTATTTTTTGTGTTGTAACTTTGTCTAAACTTGTTCAATCACGGTGATTTTGGTGTTATTCGACTCAGCTCGATGAGCTCTTTCGAATGAGCTATAATATGTATAAAAAATTTTTGATTCCAAAAATCGTCCATTTTGATCTTCGAGTTTTAGGGGCCTATATCTCGGTCCAATCAAGTCGGATTTCGCTGATTTTGGTGTCATTCGACTCAGCTCGAGGAGCTCTTTCGAATGAGCTATCATTTGCATATTTGAATTTTTCACTCCAAAATTGTGCTTACTCCCCCCTATGGTTTTTCGGTTTTCAGGGACCTATATCTCGGCTCGTAGGCATTTCCGCAAAAAAAGAATGGTACCATTCGACTCAGCTCGCCGAGACGAATCGAATGGTATATAATTTGTCCCGTTTCTGAGTGGGCCACCGGCTAAAGTATATCCAAAAATATTTTTAATATTTATTAATTTTGGATTTTATCTCTATAATATTTGAGCTGCAATTGTAAAAATAAATTTTGGGCCTGAGCTACAGAGTCCTCTCCAAAAGTCAGAAGATTGTTTTATCAAAAAATTAAGGAGAGGGTGAGAACTGTAGAAGGGGTATCAGGGATAGGACGGAAAGTGTCCGGCCCGAACCCCGAACATTCTTTCGTTGCTAAATCAGATTAAAAGAAAATGTAAAAACATGACCAGGCTTTTTTCTCAACCTGTCCCATCCCTTAATTATATTTTAGAAAAATAAATTGAACAAAAAAAATTTTTAATTTAAAATAGATGAGACATAAATTTAAAAAAATTAGTCATTAAAAATGCTAATCTGCGTAAGGGATATAAAAATCCTAGTCATTCCTCTGCATGTGTTCATTATTTAATGAGGACAGTATCAAATAATTGTTTGGTTTTATGAAAAAACGGCTATAAATTTTAAATTTTTTAAATTTAATACACGAAACATAAAGTGATAAAATAAGAATTGGAGACAAACAAAGCTGTTTCGGATCGAAATAATCCTTGAGAATCGGAAATAAGAAAAATTCAAAAATATCTGTATCAAAAATCGAAAATATTCTTCAAAATCTTAGAATATAAAAGCCGAAAATCAAAATTTTGTCACAGATTTGGACCGGACTTCTCGATAAATCTTGAATCTAGATTATCGAGATTCTTTGTTCGAAATGCCATCTAGATCCTATCTCTAGCCATGTCTCTATGGGCCAGATCTACATATATCCAGTCTCTAGTCTAACGTCTCTCCTCTCGATCCGGTCTATAGCCATTTCTAGTCTAGATTTTTTTATTTTAAGGAGTCTGCCAAAGATTAGAGGAATGTTTAAGAAGGATATGAAAAAATTTGAGATAAATTCAAGAGTTAAACTTGCGCCGTCTCATTTTCGGCTGAAACAAAACTAAAAATAAAAAAATGTTTGACATGCCTTAATTCGCCTTGGCTAAGAATATTTCGGCGTAGATTTCTACTAGATTGTATGTATTTATATATTTATTGATAGAATATACATATACCTTTTTTTCTCATTTATTTGGCAAACTTCCTCCTTGGCAATTTTTGTTGTTATTGAAAAAAATTGGTTTACATGGGAGCGCAAAAATGCGAGAAAGTGAGATATACATAATTCTCACCTATATAGGGTTTAGTGTGTGGATTGAATAAAGAAAAAAACCCCTAAAGAATGTGTTGAAAAAGGGATATATCTTAAAAAAGAGAATTTAATAAAGTTTTGTTCGAGGCAAAAAATAAAGTTTCTTTTGAAGATTATTCAAATTTATTTGAAAACTTTATAAGAAAATTTTGAGAGATTTTATAATAAAAATTTAAAAAACAGACAGACGTCAATAAAAACAGACGTCAAAACTTCTAGCTGTACGAGAGGGAGATGATTATTTGAGAGAGTTTAATATTTTGAATTTTGAAACCTGAACGTGTGAAAGGATCTTTGAGGGATTGTTATTATCGAGATTATGCAGAGTAGCTTGGTTTAAAACAAATTTTAAAAATGTTATTGGCCGCGGGTTGGGCCGCCGAGAAAGCCTTCCCTTATATAAGATAAATTATGAAATAACTATTATTATGAGATATGCTTATGAGATAATGATTGTTATTCACAGCCTAAAGCAGAGAAAGTCTAGAAAATAGCAAGGTATAAAAAATCAAATTTCTTATTTCTTGAAAAATGGGATTTTAAGGCAAAATTGTTGTTTGCCATATTTTTATTGAATTGATGAAAAAACATAAAATATTTATTTACTTTGAATTCGAAATATACAAATTAAAGGTGGCTCAAGATTAAAGTCTAGTGGGAAACTGGGATCAAATTAGATTAATCTTCTTGTTTAAGATTAGGAAAAATGTATTCTGGATAATCAGTGGAAAATAAGATGATCTTCTTGTTTAAGATCGGGCATAAATTATTGGTAAACACTTTAAGGAATATTTTAGCCTTGTTGAGCTAAAGGGTTTGAATGTCAATTTTAGATAGAACAGAAAAGCTAAAAACAGCTAAAGTGAGAGTAAAAAGATGGGCTTTTATAGGCAGATCATTTTAATTGGAATTTACATAGACAAAAGTTAAAAATAGCAGGTGTTCGGTGACAACTAGTAAAAGTTAGAAAATAACATTTTTAGATTAAATAGTTGAGAAAAAATGACTAATGGGTTTACAATGAGCAACGAAAAAGATTAACTTTTTGTTGGCTGGCACTAGTTAAACTTACAAAAAATTTAGAAAAAATAGTAACAGGTGTCAAAATTACAAAACAGTTTCGCGTACAAAACGCGACAAAGGCTCACTATAGTAAAAATAAGTGCTAATACATAAAAAAACTTTTATTATCTTGAATAGACTCGAGAGATTAAAAAAAATTCTGGCAATAAAATTTTTATTTTGAAAATAAAAGTTGAAAAAAAGTGAGAATGTTAAGTCGGAAATTCACACAAAAACAACCTTTTTCTTTAAAAGTTAATATTTTTTGTTTTATTTTTAGTACCCGAAATGGTCATTTAAAAATGAAGGGAAAAGATTGAAAGGCGATTTTGGCCAACCTTCCAACACCATCTATATTTTTACACTTTATAGGCTTCCCATGGGATAAAATGTTTGACCGTAGAGTTGAGATAGCTTTTTGAAAAAAATTTTTATAAAAGAAAAAGTTATTTTTGAGCAAGTAATGTGTTGTTTAAGTGCCGAAAACGATTTAAAAATATAAAAATATTGGTTAATGTTGAGTGGATAAATAATAACAAGAATAAAAATAAAAAAAATGTCGAAAATCAAGACTTAAAATAGCTCTGATTTTAGCTCTGTGGTAAGCGAAAAACGAATGAGATCGAATGAATATCCGACTAGTGTGGAGGATCCGATCTTCCCTCCAGCGGAAGATAGAAACTTTAATACTCAGAGTAATTTTCAGAGCATTTACGGTATCTTCCCCTAGATAATTTTTTATCCTAGTATTTCTGAAAATTGGTAGGCCAATAAAAGATTGGTAGGCCAATAAAAGAGCTTTTGAACTGAAATAGAAATTATTTTCTTAGTATTTAACTTTGACCAAAATATTCCAAAATTTAAACAAATTTTAAAATTGAAGAAATTTAAAAGAAAATTTTTTAAAATTATGTATATTAAAAACGGAAATTATTTTTTCAAGTAATTTTTAAAAAATAAAATTCCAAGAGGAATAGCAAAGCACACATTTTTTCGCGCAATAGAAGTAAATTGGTACAAAAATCTCCAAAATTTCAAGGAAACCAATTACCAATTTTAAGTGGAATAAAGAAAAAAAGGAGGGAAGGCTTGAAAAAAAAAGAAAAATTAAAGGAGGCAAACGAAATTATGGCTGCCATTCAAAGGCTAGATATAGTACATAATGGTTGTTAGATAATTAAAGCTAAAAAGGGGATTATTATGACTTGGGGGAATTGAGGGGAATAATTAAAAAGGAACAGAAATTTTTGGTTTCTCTTATATAGATAATAAAAAGATTTTAATTTTTGAATTTTTGAATCTTGAACTTTTAAGTTTTGACCTTATGGAGTGGACCCCATTAGGACCCCAAACGTGGATGTGGAATGTGGACCAAATGTGATGAAAATTGATGACCAAAAATGACCCAAATGTGGAACCCGTACCAAAATCCACTTTTCCGCTCTTAATCCCTAATTAACCCGATCCGAGACAAAAATTAGACCATTTTTCGATTAAAAATTCGAAGAAAAGTTATAAAACCTATCTGAAGCCCGACCCTCTTTAAAAAGTTTAGTTAATTTATCTAAATATCTGAGAAAAAAAATAAAATAAAGCAAAGTAAATTTAAAATTAAAAAATCGGAACACAAAAAAAAACAATTAAGGAAATGGAAATTTCTTTTAAAAATCCAAAAAACGTATTTATTTATCACTATTAAAAATAAAAAAATAAATTT